CCTATAAATAGGGGTGATCTTCCACCCTTAACATGATTCCAATAACGTCTCTCTCTCTCTCCCTCTCCCTCTCTCCCTCTCCCTCTCACTCTCTTCTATTAAAAGAGAGTTTATTTCATTCCCTTCTTCTTCCTCTAAAAGTCTTACCTAAATTGTATGGTCTCACCGACAACTCAGGATTCAACAAACATTTTCAATTTATGTCATTTAACTGCACCATATCAACTAGAAATTTATTAAAATAGAAACCAATGTGTTCAAAATGAATTTTGTTAATATGAAATTCGATGTGTCAAGTCATACTTCTATGCTTTAAAATATTTGCATTTATTTTAAAACCAGTGTAATAAACATAGATAATTATCTTTATCAATTTTAAAACCCATTTTAGTAAAATTCTGATAAAGATAACTTTATCCAATTCATAAGATGAGATATATAAATAAAGTGAAGGAAAATATTCAACGTGTAATATGAAAAACTTTTTAGCTTTGATCTGTTAGTTTTTTATATTCTTCTAATGGTGGTCATTGCGACTTAAAATATAGAAAAGCAGGCACCTTTTAGTTTTGTAATAGAGTTGTTATCCCCTGCCGGCCAAAGTTCAATTCAGAAAATAGATAATAATTTCTAAGATCACAAGCTCATTGAATAAGCAAGGCTGCAGAGCACACGTGCATGGAATGAAAAATATATATACGAAGAATTATTGCAGTGTTCAATTTTTCCGGTATATATATATATATATATATATATATAGCCTAAATCAAGATATGTTTTTAAATTATAAAATGATTTGTACTTTCTTGTGAACGAAGGTTCTTCGGCTGCTTCATAGGAAGTAGAGCTTTCAGGAGCAATGGCTTCCTCTAAGTCAAGTCAAATTAAGAAGAAAATATTAAGTTCAGATAACGGTATAAATCGCATCACGCTGTTAAACTCCTGACTTGGTGCAGTCCACACATCTTTCGCTCATCCAATGTAAAAAGAATGGGGCATCTATATGCATATCACCCCATTCTAATGTGCTTATATGTCTAACACCTAAACTTTACTTCTTTATATTTATATCACCAAAAATTTTCATGTAACACCACAAGCTAATACCGTTATTTTAACAATTAAAAATCCAAATACAACTTTTCATGCATAGTCAAGGTGGTTAGTATGTAAAAATTTGAAGTTTAGCCGTTAAACATGTAAATACATAAGAATAGAGTGATATACATGCAAAAGAATTACAAAAAGGAAAAAGAAAGGAAAAAAAAAAGAAAAGAAGCATTGAATTTGTCTTTCACATTAGCCATGGACTGAAGAAAAAATCCACAGGCGGAGAGATTGAGGAGGTCAGGCTTGGACGCTAATGCAGAAACAGTTTTATATCGTTATATATTTGAATTCTTTTATAGAAAACTTAGTCTGACACGCCTGTTTAGACCTCAAAACATGCTCTTGTAAAAGTGTGAATGACAACTGTAATTTGGAGTATATTGCAAGTGGGGGGATGTATATTCTAATCATTATTTAATGAGCTCATCGAATTATGTAATATTTTTTGTTCAAATATTCGTTTTACAAATCAATGATAGTTATGTCCTTTATTTTTTTTGGCCGTCAAGATTGAGAAGATTGAAATGAGCCTGTTCGCATTTATCATAGGTTTCTTCTTTGTAATATTAATAGTATCATGATATTTTGGTATGGGAAATATCATTAAGGAAAGATCTTATTTTAAGAATGATGGATGTTTCATGATCATGATGAACAATTAAGTAGAAAAGAGATCAAAGAGCAAAGGGGGGTTTGTAAGAATTGCATGATTCAGATTGAATTTTGAACAAAATTTCAAAATTGAACTTAGTTTAGGAAATTAAATCTATAAAAATAACATTCTTCTTGGAGATTAAATTACTGTTTTACAATCATGGCAGTTAAATGTTGTGGTACCCCAAATTCAAAAAACATCAATATACCAAGAATTCTGAATACGATTAGGTATTTGTACTTATGAAGTTATCTACTTGTTCACTTATATTATCAATAAAACTCAAAAACATGACATTGTAGATTATGTCTAGTGGATATTAAACTTTAGCTAATACCTTAGTCTTATCATCAGGTGCCCACAATTTTGTTGTGTCAACACCAGCAATATTATATGATGCATTGTTGTCAATATAGTCATAACCACCACATAGCTAATTGAACAAAATATCTCATTATTAAGGACACATAAGATAAAAACAAGTCGATTCAATAATCTATCATTCATTTGTTTTCATCATCACTAAAATGATATTAATTATAACATAATTAGATAAACCTATAAAACAATATTAGATGTTTACTTAGTCCTCTTGTGCTTGTCATACGCACACTACTTTTCAATACTTGTTAATCTCTCATTATATTTCTTTTCTCAAGATAGAAGTAATTTCCTCTTGCTAGTCATGAGTCATGCTCATATAGTGATGAGAAGTATTCTCTTTCTATGACTATCTTCACCTAACTAATAATCCATCACCTGGCTTTATTTTTAAACACTCTCAAACTTAGAAAACCACTAAAATTAGACATTTCATTTTTGAAAAAAATTATCCACGGCAAAATATAGTAATCATAATTTTGTAACAAACACTTAATCTAAAATAATCCATTCAGAAAAATCCTCATCCCAAATTTTCATTACAACAACAAAAAAAAAGTAATGAATTGAATTGTGAGATGACAACATAGGATCTGTTATTATTTTTTTACATAATATACCAACACACAAAAAAAAAAATACTCGTGTTAAAAAATTAGTGTTGGACTTGTGATAAAATTATAACGTATAAATGTGACATTATAAGTTTAAAAATCAACTATTTTTTATTTATTATAGAAATCACGCAAAATTTATCATACTAGTATAAGTTCGTCACAAAATCAACATATTGCAAAAACATATAGTAAGGGTGATCAAGGTCATAATGGTCACAAATTCATATTAAATTTTTATATTTTCTATTTTTCCAAATCAAGTTATAAAAATATATATTGTAATAACTAAATTTTAATATCATATTCATAATAATTAATACATGCATGCCTTAGAAGAGTAAATAAGCTAATGTTATTAATTTCTCACCATTATAATATTAATAAAGACATAATAGTTATATTATGAAAACCCCATTTCTTTCATAGATGAATGCTTAAAAAATACATAATTAACTCAATAAACTATAAATGCAATAATACTAATGAATATGTAATATAATGCAAATGAGAAAAGAAAACTTCTTGGTATTTTAATAAGAATATATGTTCACCACGGCTCCTCATTATCCCTAATTATGGAGGGATTGTTTCTATATCGGTTATCATCTAACACGTGTAAAATCCTTTATAAAGATTGATAGCATAAGGTATAAAGGAAAAATATAATCAAGTCTATATTTTGAGCACCATATGCCTCAATGGACATTGTTACAACCTTTTGTGAGAATGATCGCTTTGAGTGTCATTTATGCTCAGTTTGCCTTTTTTTTCATTTCTATGGACATCTTTGCTTTTAAGCAAGCATGTTGCCCAAACAAATGATGTTATATTTAAAAGAAAGTGAAACTATATTTGCTATTGAAAAGGTGAAGCAACCAAAGAATAAGACTAACAAGCCTCATGTTGTATTTTGATGGTGTTGATGTTGAAAATTCACATTTAGCAATATGCATTGCTCAATATATATGTGAATTAATAGTAAGGTATGTCATTAAGATAAACCAATGAAATTATTCCGAGTATAAGCCAGCAGAGAAGTCAATAATAATAATAATAATAATAATAATAATAATAATAATGTGCAGGGGTCGAGTTATATCTACTTCATTAAAGGGTAATGAAATTTTTTTAAAGTTTGACAAAGAACTGTCAAGTCTAGTAAGGTTAAAGGTGCATATAGAGATCGAAATAACCTTAAAGATCAATATATATTATCAATAAATCAAAAAATAAGTAAAAGCTAAAGAGTTATTAATGTTGTACAAAATGGAAAAAGTAAAGCTTGAGTCCATGGCTAATTAGAAGTTGATGAAGAAGTTAAATTTGGATCAAATAATAATCTATAAGATTTATGTCAACCTTGGCTAAAAGTTAAGGTAATATTTGAGCTCATAAAGTCATTTCAAGGTGTAAAACAAGAGTTTGAAGGCTTGAATAAAGTGTTGGTGGTGGTTTAGGAAAAGAGTTTATGGTGAAAGGAAAGTTAAAGAGTAAAACTGTTTGTCGATAATATGCCTAGTTGATTGAAGTTATGTAGTTATATTTTTGTTTAAAGTTTGAGGCCAAACAAAAAGGTTTATGGTAAATGATTATGAAAAGTTAATTATTAATGAATGTGATATTGTAAAATATCAATCAACTCACATTGACGGTTGAAAAAGTCTTCTCACCAAAGATAATGCTTCTTGGGAGCAGCCATGAGTGCTTGAGTTGGAATCATAGGCGTATATACAAGTTTATTCCTATGACAACAAATAGATGTTGAGTGTCCAATTTTGTGACAAGTTTGATAGATTGTATTGGATTGGTTGGATAATCTTCAACTCTTGATCCACCGGGATGGCCTCCTCTTTGGTTTGGGTGCTCCTTACACTTCCTCAAGTGGAGAAGCTGCTGCGTCCTCGAGATGCCGTAAGATCCATTGGAGTTATAATTTATGCTCATCTAGAGCAGGATTTGAACATAAAACCATGCCAAAGTCCAAACCTATTATTTCCTTCTCCCATCTTTCTTCTTTTTGCATATAAATAAATAATTAAGTAAAAATGAGAGCAATAAATACCATTAATAGCGATTTAGAAGCAAACTCTTCAAAATGAACAACTCCATATCTACTTTGGGAAACATAAATCTCAATTATATAAAACAAATCAAAGTTTTATTACATATTATACATAAATGGTCATCTACAATGGCAGACCTTACATAATCTAATAACCAAATAAGAGAACTGGCCCAACTGTTGTCTCTCTTAAACCAAAAGCCTTTAATGAAGCTAAAAAATTTAAACCCAAAAATTTGATTTTATATCATAACATAAGCACCCCCCCCCTGATGTTATCATAAATTCTCAACACTGAATCATAGGAAAAACTCTGGGAAATATTGATTTATTGAGACTGAATCTGCAGGCGAAAACAGCCCATCTACAGAGCACTGCAGCCTCTTCGCAGGCTGCAGCAGCGTTAACTCATCAAACACACCAAAGGGTTGCTTCCTCTTCGCTGAGCCAACTTGCTGCGCCTCCACATAGTCTCTGCTATCGCTGAGTTGCGAGTACCTCATGAAGAAAGCAGGATCCAATACTTCTCCTATGCTCTCCCTTTCCGCTTGAGACTCAAAAAGATAGCTAAGAAGTTCGTTTTCATCCAAATCAGTAAAACTGGTACTATCCATCACAACTTCCTGATTTTCTTCACTCTGAGCACTTACAGTGAAAGCAGACTCTGTTGGGCTGCAGGTCTCAGCCACTTCATTACTTGCCGCCGGCAAGTTGCCTTTTTGCCTTACTCTGCAGAGAACCCAGTCGTCCAACTGTGAAAAATAACAACAAAATTTAACATTTGGTTAAAAGAGAACTGAAGAATTGGGGGGAACTGTGGAATCTATTGTTACAAGATGAAATACTAAACATATAGAAGTATTGAGACTTACTCGCATGGATCCTCCTTTCTGCTTCTGAGACTGAGGCGCAGCAACCTTAGAATCCAAGAGACGATACTCATGCATAATCCATTCAGTCTTAGTGCCCTTCGGCGGCCGGCCCTTATGAAAAACCAGAGCTTTCTTGACGCCGATGCACTGGGTTCCACCGGCGCCCAAAATAGGCTTATCTGTACCAGTAGCCTTCCAGTAGCCAATCCCAGCCGCTCTATTCGGCCGAACGCCATTAGGATACTTCCTGTCTCGAGGACTAAAGAAGAACCATTCTCCCTCACCAAAGAAAGCCTTACCTGCAACAGAACAGAACAAAAAAAAAAAAAAAGTTTTTGTTTTCAGACCAGTGTACAAACAGTACGACAACAAAGCATATGGGCTTATGCAGAAGAATCCAAAGTCCAAACCATAAACAAATTCCTGGCCGGCCGGATTTATGCATAAGAAAACAAATATGTATTAAATATTCAATAAGAAGATGATGAAAGAATGATTAATCACCAGGGAGGTCCCAAGGATTGAATTTGTAGAGATCTATGTCAGCTATAATGTCCCAATTTGAAGGCAGAGAAGCAGTGACCTTTTTGCTCAGGTAGCACTTGATGAGCTCTTGGTCTGTGGGATGGAAACGAAAGCCAGGAGGCAGGTGAGAGCCCATAACTAACCCGTTGACGCCCATGGAAGAGAAGAAGGTTAATTCTAGCACACGAGGGAAGAAGAAGAAGAAGAAGAAGAAAGTCAATTAGCAGGCAGTGGTGCATTTTGAGAGCAAGTAGGGCTACTTCTTATATAGAGAAATTTTATGCCGGGAAGATACGGGGCATGCCAATGGGACACAAGGCATAGGCCGGGCCCCTATGGGATTATTAGCCGGGTTTTCAAAATTTTCCAACGTGGTTTATTTATTTATTTTTTATTTTGGAGACTAGTGGTTGCAATTGGACTCCCACTGCCCCCCTGAACAAGTGACATGTGTCATTTTTGTTATTTTTGGCACGTGGCATTCAGGTGACGAGGAGGTCTGAAGGGGTGGGATGGGCTGGGAATTGAGTGCCTAGTAAAACACGTCCAATGGGCCGAGAGAAATTGAGATATTAGATATTTTGGTTTTGGTATGAACTGACTTCGGGTTTCATTTGTCAGTTGGTTTTTTAAATATAAATTGGGGTGGGTTTTTTAAATGCATATAATACAAAAGGAAAAAGATATTTGTTAGAAGTAAATTAGAATAATATTATTGATTATGATATTTGGTCGATGGATTCCATGTTGATAATTTTTTCTTATGTTTATAAATGAAAAATAATGTAGAAAATTAGAATTTTAAATTTTTGTTCACGAGGCTTGAAGTCATGATCTGTTTGTCAAGGGTCTGACTTTTTTCTATGGTTGTTAAATTTGTGACCAAAATTTTTAGGATTCCGCTCTCTTTGATAAACATTATAAGCATGCAGATTGACGATCACCTGTGTTGGATTAGTAATGTAAAATTCATTAGATTATAATCAACGTGCTCTAATTTTATTGGTCCTTTAAAATATTTTTCTTCTAAGAGATCGTGCATAAGCATATAAATAGTTTATTTCTTTGTACAAGAAATAACTCATTTTCTTTAGCTATGTATTATGTGAGCCGTTACACTCCACTTATAGTTTTTTTTTTATAGATAATGTATTCTCTTCATATGTTGAGGTTTTTCCGGTTTTGAGTTTCTAAGTAAAATTTATGTTCCGTTTTCATATATTTTAAAAATTTTCGTCGCATCTTATAACAAGTGGCATCAAAGTTACAATTCTTTTATTTCAATTATGACTATAATGAAGTATGACCTTTTGTTTTTGGATCCCAATGCTAGAATTTTTGTTTGGCAAGTAAAGATAATTGTTATTTTGGCACAGTAGGATTTAGATGATGTGTTGCTCAAATTTCACTAGATGTCCTCATTGTGGGCACAGGAGGAGAAGTAGCATGAGGAATAAACAAATTTATCTTAAATTCATTTTCATTTGTCAAAATATTTTATGATGTTTTGTAAGAGAGAAGAAAATCACTCTATTATGGTTGTGTACATAAGAAATATGTCAATCTGGAAGAGATCTAACAATTTAGAAGGGAAGAGATGTGGGGTACGAACAGCATTGAATCGGAAACATCATAAAAATGTTTCTCACCTTCTACGTCCTCTTTAGTAAGAACAACCTTAGGTTTTGGTCGACCCACCACTCTAGCAGATTCAGGGCAAGACATACAGGGTAATGAAGTTGAAAGCTAGTGGTCATGCGGGCTTTTGACTTGGCCACCCGAGTAGCAACCACCGCCTCCCTCTCATCCTCCCAAGCTTCAAAGACTTTTTAGTGATCCTCATTCATTCGATCGAAATCTTATGGTTGAAGCACTTGGTTGACTGTTGCTGGATTGAGATACTAATAGATTGACAGCGGACACTCCTCGACATCCCTTACTTTCACTAGCACTTGCTCCAACACTTTCCTATTTTCTTTTGTAGGAGCACCGCCAGACGAGACAGTTTGAATGTACCACCTTGAGGGAAAAAGCCTAGGCAAAAATGGGGCTTCCGATCTTTCACCTTATTTTTTAGCCTTAATTGCTAGAATTTTTTGACCAAAGCAAATTGAACAAAATCATTCAAGCTGACCAAAATGAGAACAAGTACATGAAAATCTCAATTGACCATGGAATCACTAACCGCAACAGCGTTCGTGATAGCTATTACATAGTTAAGAATTATGTGATCAGGCATGACAACATAATGGACAAAGATGTCCTGTAAATGTAAAAAAAAAAAGGTTGTCATGAGCCTAAAAAAAATGATTCTTATAGAAAATGAGGTTGGCACCATATAGAGTGATCACTTGGTTATCCTTGCCAACAACATGTAGCTTAATAGTGGGATGAAAGACACATGTCTTCTGCAGTGGATTAACCATCCCCAGACTCATCCATGATCGATCATTCAATGTGATAGACCAATAGTCCTTAAAAAATTACTGAGGAGCCATCAAGCAGAATGCAAAAAAAGAAAGACAAGAAAATAATGCCAAGTGAGAAGGAAAAGATAGAGTAAATAGTAAGCAGTAACTATATAAGGAAACAGAAAGCTGAACTATAACACATAGGTAAAAATTAATATATAGAGTAATTTCAAAAAATGTGCTGATAGAACGCTTACAACAACAAAGAAAATGAGATAGTATAATAAAGTTATTCTAAGAAAGGCCTTGAAATTACATATAAGCACTCAAGAACTTACCCGAGATAAAATACTTTACAAAGAGATTGTTAGCCACTTCAGCTTAAACATACCCCATCCAAAGCAACCTCTTATACAAAATATCCCCCAAGAACTAAACTTGTTTAGTCAATCCATCAAGTATCTCCCTTAGACATCCAATAGTTCCTAGTAAAGAGTAGCCGCCACCTCCTCCATTTTCTCCAATTTCTACACACGAGCCAATAACTCGTGCACCTCTTAGCCTTTTTGAATCTCTGTTGGCCAAGCAAAAGGTTATTAATCTCATCTAGGTGGTGAGTCGGTGATCCAACAGATGTGTGGTGCCCGTTAGCTGCTTTCCCACTGATCTCAAAAGGATTGTCTGGGCATTCTACCACATCATTCTCAATTAATAGTCGGTCACCCTCATGTAGCTCCTGATCTGCTTCCATTGGCAGCTTAGTTGAATTCTCCTTGATGTCAGCCAGAGCAAGATACTTACTCAAACTCTTAAAATTGAGTCATATACACCATGAAACAACATATACGAAATGATCTTTGGAAAATTGAAAATCCAACAAATATGACTGAGGTTTCTCATACCTTAGAGCCGAACCAACTCAGACACTATAATCAACATAGCACCCTCGCCATGCGATGACAGAGAATCGTCAGCTTTTTGTGCAGCCTGTGCAATCAATGAGTCTTGTGCCATAGCAAAGGGTTGGGATATCAGATCAACGGTTGGATCAGTCGATTGACGATTCCTCCCCTCATTAATAAAGATCAAAACATACGATCTCACTTGATCTTTTAGTGAGATTATAATTGTTTCTCTCTTCTTAATGATTACCTTCTTATTCTTTTCACCTCCCACGAGGTCCTGATCTTTTGGTCTTTGGAAGGCAACACAGAGTAATTTTTTTTTTGAGGATATCACTTGTAGGGTTTGATATATACATTCTCCGTCACAGCACAAGAAAGCTGGCTAACTCAAATGATAGATTTTATGGAACAGAAAAGGAATGGCATGGAGTCTTATCAAGTCTTATTTCTAAGAATCAAAGGTGTAGAAATCAATGAAACTTAATTATTAAGACATTAATCAACCAATAAATGAAATTTACTTTTTCATTTAATTATAATATTTTTATCATATCATCATTTTCAACAAGAAGAAGAATCAAGAAACTAAAATATGTATATCAAATATATGTTATTGATAAACTTGTGGAGATCTAATAGCCTAGAAGGTAAGAATACGACAAAGGTGGGCCCACTGACAGAAGATCTTGAGTCCTACAAATCAAACCGAGTGAAGTTGTCTAATTCAGGACAACAATGTTAATGAACCACAAAATAGATCAAAGGTGATTGGAGGATAAACGAATGAGCCACTCATCTGAACGACACAAAATTATATTGAAGCCAACCACTACAGAAGAACTGACATAAGGGAAGATCTAATTCACTAGCATATCCCACCATCCCAAAGATGCTAAGAGGCTTCTCATCAAGGGTCAAGGGTCGACAACTAGGCAATATCAATTAAGTTGATCCATACCAACCAAGCTCATATGATTGAGTCAATTCATATCAACCAAACTCAGTTGAATAAACAAATCTCAGCCAACCTAGTTGATCTTGCCAACTTGAAACCAATTAAGTTTAGCCAGCTGAGCCATAAAACAACCAGATGACATGTTTAACCATGTAAACTACTAGAAATACCCCAATATATGTCCCTTTAAAGTAAGGTAAAAAATATAACATCACGATATTATACCAACTTTTTTAATAAATAGATTCATTACTGTTTACTTCTCTCTCATTTTCTCACCTCTCTCTCTCTATCTCAATCTCTCCTTTTTTATGCTTTATTCATCCATTGTGATTCACAAACAAATCAAGATTGAACAGATTGAAATTGGAATAGTTGTGCGTAACAAAAAATTACACTAATAAGTTGCATTTCAAACAAAATTTGCACTACTAAAATGTTGTTGACGGTGTGCCTCTTTTAGATAGCTTGATTGTCTTTAAATAAATTTCCTTTAATTTAGATCCACAAATGTCAAGTATGATGAAGACAACATAAATATTGTTACTTTTGTTGCTTTTATCATATGTTGTATTTAGAGATATCATCTAATATGATTGAGAGATATTTACTCGTCAAAATTTATGAAGCTCTGTTCGTTAAAAAAAAAGATGAAGCAGCATGTGCATGAACTTACATAAGAAGAAGCTTTTTTGTTCGAGATATGACTTAAGATATGAGTTATTATGTTAATACGAAGGGTGGATCAAAATCTAAAATCAATGACGAGATCTACAAATACTGTAAAAAGAAAAATCATATCAAATAAAAGTATTACAAATTAAAGAATAAGAATAAGAAAGTTCAATAAGAAGAGTAAGAAAATAGGTAGTGCTATTGAAATTAGTGTTGTTGAAGAAGATATTAGTGATGTTGAACTTCTAGTTATCTCTTCGAGTGAATCATATGATAATTGAGTTTTTAATATATCACAATACAGTTTATGAGTGGTTTTAAATATAAATTGATTATGGATGATTTTTGTAAGAAAAATTTTCATTTCTTTTTTCTGAGGAAATAGAGTGATATATTTATTATATTTAAATACAAAATCCCTTTAATTAAGAAGCAAATTAAATTTGAGATTTTAAGAAATTCAAATTTTTAATATATCACAATACAGTTTATGAGTTGTTTTAAATATAAATTGATTATGGATGATTTTTGTAAGCAAAATTTTCATTTCTTTTTTCCTGAGGAAATAGAGTGATATATTTATTATATTTAAATACAGAATGTCTTTAATTAAGAAGCAAATTAAATTTCACTACATTGATGATGGCTAGGAGTTTTCTTGAGAAGAATTAAATTTCTTCCATAAATTAAAAGCAATTCTAAGAAACTTCATACTTCGATATACTATGAAGCAAATAGTGTGGCAAAATGAATAAACAGAGCAGTAATAGAGAATGTATGTTGCATAATCTCCAATGTTGTGATACCTAAGTTATTTTGAGGTAAAGTTACTTCTACATCTTGCTATCTAGTCAATCACTCTTCATGCATTATTATTTACAAGATGATCCCGCATAAAATTTGGTTTGCTAAATTTTTTATTGCTCTAATTTAAGAATTTTTAACTGTCTTGCCTACGATCATATTGAGAATGATAAATTATAGCTTAGATCTATAAAGTAATTTTCTTGGTTATAAAAAATAGATTTATAAGGCAACAAGTTAAGGTATCTAGAAATAAAATAATAATGATAATTAATAGACATGTTATGTTTGATGACTTTATCATGTTATGTAAAACACATACTATAAGATAAAGTCATGTTGATCAAGAGGAGAAGTCTAGTAGACATTAGAAACTTTAGATTGAGATAGATCCACTTCTGGCATGACCTTCTATTTAAATTAAGATAGTCTTAGTAATGTTTCTTTCTCATTACCATGACAACAACCATCATAATATTTAATTGTCATGAATATAATAAAGAGAAATTTGGTCTTAATAGAGGTATGGGGAGTTAGTTTATGCTCTAAATGTAGTCAGAGATATTACGTGTGGTTAAGAATTTTTTTATTTATAAAGAAGCAGTTAATATCATTGATTCTAATAAATGGATTATTGTTATGCATGAGTAGATGAAATACCTAAATGAAAATATTATTTGAGATTTAGTGAAGCTATCCCAATGGAAAAAAGTTTGTTCATTTTAAATGATGAGGGAAAAAGACGAAGCACTAAATGATGAAGATGTTAGTTATAAGGCAAAGTTAGTTGTAAAAGGATTCAATTAAACTGTAGGCATATAATTTATAGATTTATTCTTTAAAGTGGTTAATCATACTTCAATTCAACGTTTTACTTTAGATTGTGGCTAATTATGATCTTGAGCATAAATAGTTAGATGTAAAAAATTATATTTTTTTCATGGAGAGCTCAAGGACAATATTTATATGTAGTAGAGTGTTCATAAATACAGGAAAAGAAAACATTTTTTTTTTGTTAAACAACTCTCTTATGTTTTGAAATTGTTTCTTATGCAATAGTATAATAAATTTAACTCATTTATGATTGCTCCTACATTTAAGAGTAGTCATGAGAAATGTGTCTTCTTTAACAGAAATATTTTATTAAGAATCTTGGTACGAGTCACTTGTCATTTTGAGAGGAAAAAAATTTTCATTTTCCAAGATAAATTCTAGTAATATGTAAAGCTTTTGTTTTCTAATTCAATAAAATGATTTTAAAATTAAAAAAAAAAAATTGTTGACTAGGCTATTTGATCATATTAATTCATATTTTAAGAAAACATTAAAAAATATTCCATATTTTTAAAAAGCAATATTTCGCTAATATAAAAAATAGCCTAAATAGTTTATCATGTTCAATTAGTTATTCATGTTAAAAAAATATAAAAAAACCATAACATTTAGTAAGCATGTTTTAAACATTTCAAGTAGTTAAACAAATAAAAGACTAAAATTGTGCTTTTCAGGCTCAATTTTGATGCTGCATAGACACCAAATTGTTTTCAAGGCTTGATTTTGCTACCACTTAGGCGCTAAATTGCACCATAAAGGCCCGATTTGACCAATTTTTAATTTTTAGCAGAGCTTAGTAGCATTGTACTAGTTAGCATTTAAATCATAAACAGTTCGCCTCTAAATCATATATCTTATCAAAAAAGATTTCCTACTAAGTCACATAAAGATGGTTAAAATATTTTTGGCCAACTCTGCCCATGTAGATATATTGGTTTAGATAGAAATCCTTAATTGTGGTTGTGATTTTGTCTAAGTTGAGGTAACCTATTTGAGCTAATCTATAGGGATTAGCTGATCCATGGTGAAAAGTTGTTTGCACTCTAATCTCCAAGCCGAATCATGAAACTAAGACTAATTGCTCGAAGGAGATCAAATATTATATGTTATTGGTGCAAGTAATTGAATGTGTACAACAATTCCTTTGATAAAAAAAGTATTTTAGATATTTTCGAGGAATCGACAGATGGATTTTCTTTCGAAGCAATTCTCATAAAATGATATCGCAACTCATTTTAATAATTTTCTACTCCAAAAAAAAAAACAGAAAAACATCTTGCATTAGTTTTTCTATTAAATTAATTCAAAAAAAAAAAATCTTCCAGTTTTTAGAAAAATTTTTTTGATTTAAACTTAATGAATATTTTTCTATTGAAAATCAAATTTTTGACAAAATTTTCATCCAAAAATCCAATGTTTGAATTGGTGAAAAATGGCCCAACCTGCCCAATCAACATGAATGGCTTTCACACCATTAGCAAAGTTTCAGTAGAATCTTAAAGGTCGAATGAATGAAAATGCTATTGTCTATTGAGAATACTGAAGTTGATCTAATGTACTATTGCTAGCAAGGCAACAAAGGACCTCCATCACCCAATCATGCAAAGGTCTTAACAATGCCTCCCAAACTAAATTACCAATCACAAAGACTCGCACCTTGCCTTTCTAACCTCTAACTTCTCCCAAATATCTTAGCTTTCAGTCGCATCTTCATCGTATCCCACCAAGCTACAAAAATCATACTTTTTATAAGCCAACCCAGGCATAAGGTGCCTCCCCTACACAAGAGCAAAAAATCAACATAACCGGAGGTCAGACGCGGGCAACTCATGATCGGAGAACCAAATACTAACAACTTTGGGAAGCTCCCTGGCCAGGAAAAATTATTGCATGCAGTGTTCGATCAAGACCGGAAAAAATTTTATGATGGCCCCACTCTAACAGAAAAAAAAAAAAAAAGTTGTATTTCAATGATTCAGATTGGACACCCATACAAATTTACGTATGGGGCTAGACGCAGCGTTCAAAGTGCAAAGTAAAAAAAAATACAATTTTATTAACTCTTCTGCTTGATAAGATTTTAGCTAGAAGTTATTTTTGTGTTAGTTGAAAATCCTATTTTAAATAATTTTCAAATTATAAAAGAATATTAACATATATATATATATA